GTCCTTCCCCCCCCCCCCCAATTTAGACATCATTGACTACCATTGCAACCCCCCCAAGCATAACTAAGATGCATATTGGCCAGAGATTATCATCATCAAAGCCCAGTGCAGCAGGTGGGTATCAGACAATGCCTCATACGAGAAATGCGGCTCACTTTAGATTGAGAGACACGTCCACCAAAAATATAAGCTACTATACTTGCATTTTTTCTTCACTGCAGCCTTAAGCTGTTTTACTTCTGGGCATTAACTGGTTTGAAAAGAAATCCTTTTTTGCTTTGGCCATGTTGACCTCATGTTGTCTGTGGAGCGTTCTTACAGTGAATAAGATCCTTGATACGTCGATCCCCCTGCTATTTTACTCCTCCCACCCATCCTGGGAAAGCAAGAATCGAGCACTTCAGGTGCAATCCTGCTGTTGAGAAACTGCTCTTCCCACAGGAATGCCTTCCCATAGGAAAGGGTCAGAAAAGCTGAAGGTGGAGAACACAGGGCTTCCCTTCTAGTCCATTCAGTGCCCCAACCACCATTCAAAAACTACAAGGGCTGGTGTTAAATTTGTTCATTAAACAAATTTACCCTACCTAACGAGGGAACTTCATATCACCAGAAAGTGTTGGGTCCTTGGTGCTCTCTGGATTTGGTTGCTTTCTTGTAGACATTTTATTACCTAGCTAGGTAACATTATCAGTGCAAGGGAAACAGGGGTTGTTGATGTTACCCAACCCAAGAACCCAACAGTTCAATCCATATTCTCTTCTATTGAAACAGGAAATAGTTCTTGCATTAAACTGTAGTAGGCTTATCAAGGATTAGCGGATTCACTAATACCTGGAAAATTTATATTCCCTTCATCTTGCAATGCAACCTAAAAAAAAAAATTCTGAACTAACAAAAGCTAACACTGCAAGATTAAAATCATATTAGTAGCTACTTGATCCAGACAATAGAAAAAAGACAGTCTTTAGGAAATTAGAGTGGATAATTTAGATTCCAGCTGAAGCAAGTAGAGTTTGTGAGAAAGCAGGAAAAGCTATTAACCAATTTCTTTCAAAATAAGACAACCGTGAATCTTTTTCATTCAGAAATGTTCATTTTTACCTCTGCTCAAAACAGAACAAATATTCTCTTGTCAAAGATGTTAGAAGACTCTCAAAGGCTGAAATGCAATTTAGGAATGATTAAACTATTCATTCTGCAATAATAATCACATTCTATGCATACCATTTGATCTTCCAGCATCACAGTTTCATGAAGCATAGTTTAATCTAAAAAAAAAAAGTTTTTATACAGATATTTTTAGAGTCAGTCCTTTTTTTTTTTTACTATGAAAATGGACAACCTGGGCTTAAAAATATTAATATGCCTAAATTTTAATTTGATTTTATCTTTGCAGTTAATAGATAATAATTGAAATGATACTGGTAATGGTGCCCAACTACCTGTCCCATAGGGATGCATGGTAAAAATTTTCAGAAATATTTTTCTCTGCAGTCCCTGCTGGCCCACTTTTGAGTTGAAGCTTTCTTTTGCTGCCTTCTTCCCTCTGTGCTAAATGTTGTCCCATTCTGTTCGGTTAAGCTGCTGGCAGCCCCTTTACATAATTTCTTTTCCACCTTCGATTAGGTTGGAAATTCACTGTAAAAAGGATCCTGTGGCTGCATCTTTCTGTAATGCTTAGTTGAGGCTTTGATCCTTCCTGAGGATCTCTGTGAGTAAAGGATGGGCCAGTGAAGAAGACCTTTTACAGCTTAGAGCAGTGTTTCTCAACCTTGGCCACTTGAAGACGTGTGGACTTCAACTCCCAGAATTCTTGCACAAGGTGGACACCCAAATGACATATGCAGCCCCGAGCACCCATTTGCAACACCTCCTGACCACCGTTCTGAATCCTGGCACCACGATTTTGGCAGTTGCTTGTTGCTTAGAGGGGATTGCGGACACGAAGAGAGTTGCCTCCCTCCCAGAGACTCCTTCCCCCATGGCTACCTTAAATTCCTATGGCAAACACCAATGAGATAAAAACTCAATGCCAAACCCTTCTGGTGACATGATAGCCTCACTGGACAGCCTCTTGTAATCCTCCAGAAGATTGAGAGGCTGAGTTCGGGCCTTCCCCTACTCAAACGTTACCCCTCTTCATCTGGGAAAAGCTATCACACCTTCAGATATAAAAAGCTATTGGTCTTTCCAATCTCTTCTTGTGGGTTTCAGTTTACCAGGGAAAGGAAGTAGGAAATTTTCTCATTAAGCTGGGCCAATTCCAATACACTCTTTGGGAGGATGAGATGGGGAAATGCTTACAAGAAGATATTTACATCTATGACTATGGCTTATATAAGAATTTCCAAATGTGGAGCTCGATTGCCGCAGAGTTCACTTAGGCTTATGAAGCTGTTATGATATGAGTTTTTCTTGACTGCATTACATTTCATCAGCTGCAAGGGAGTATTATTTTAAGAGAATTAATTTACTCCCATAGTTGAGGGATGGAAAGCTGGAAGTGAAATATAGGGCATGCTTAATTGAAAAACTTAATTATCATAGGGCTGTGACTATTCTGTGAGCAGGTTTGTCTGTCTGCCTGTCTACATCTGTTGATTTACCCTGGTTTACTGGAGAGAGTAGATGAGAGGAAAATGGAAAACGGCATTAAGAAATCTTATTTCTAATTGGAGAAACAATGATCCTCAATCCACCACCCACACGCCTCTTGCGACAACTGCCAGAAAGAGATAGTGAAGAGTCATTGTAACACCAGAAACCAATAAACTGCCTAATTGCCCCACTCTCTATCCTCAGGTGGAAATGAAATGCCATTTCTTGTTTTCTGAATGTTAAAAATCAGAAGCACCAAATATGTCAGAAACAGATCAGTCCCTGAGCACCAAGACAAAGACATTTAATCCACTTTCTAATTGCAAAAAGATTGTGACAGCCTTTTCTTGGTAATTTCATCACACAAATGTCATCGAGGAGGGCATTTTGGGGATCTGAAGCCCCAGATTACTTTTTGACTGGTGTCTGCTCGCAGATCTTTTGGTTTAATGCTTTACACGCCCAAACTGGAGAGAAAAGAGTTCATCTATGGCGTCATCTAATTAACCCTGCTTTAATATTCTTTCGTTCTGCAAGGGGGCAGTAAACTCTTCATGTTTCCCTTAGGAGGCATTGTCTCCTTCTAAAATGGAAGTTTTACTTAATAAAGCATTTGTGAAGCTGCATTAAGCTTTTAGCCCAATGCACAAAGCAAGGGAGGCCTGGGCTAGGTAATTGTCTGGAAAATGATAGCTTTCTACACAACAGCACTTCCAATCTCAGCACTGTCCTGACTAGTGTCCTAATACAGATGCAGAAATGAATGCCGGGCGAAAGACCGGCTTATAACTAGGCATTTTATCTCAACAGATAAAGAATCAGCATTAAGAATGGTACCACAGTGATGTGAATAGAAGTGCCAAGGGAAGATTAATTCCCTTGTTGAATTGGGCCAGACTCTTTTCCTGAACAATGAATGCTTCCATAGAAGTATTTTCTGCTGCTGATTAGCACATATGTTCATGTCAAGGGTGTGATAGCCTGTGTGATGTGCAGTATAATTTGGTGTGGGTAATCACGGTAAATTAGAAGCACTAGAATGGTGGCCTCCAGGGCCTTTTTTGGAGTCAAGAGAGAAGCCAAAGTGCTCATCTTCTTGTGAGCAGCCCTTTAATGGGGTTCCAATCTGGACTGACTTTACACAGATAGAGTTTATGATGGTCACAGAGTTCAAAATAAAACACGTTAAAAATTAAAAAAGCATAAAAATACAAAACAGTATTATTGGCAGATTCATCCATGAGCAATCAGAGTGTGACTAACTTTACCGGCAGTATAACAGAATTTGGTCTCAAGCAAGGAAACTAAATCATACTGATCCAATTTACATATTACTTACTGAAAAGAATATTTTTTTTAAAAAAGAAAAGCCTTTAAAATATTCCC